GTACTATCTATATTTTTACTCAATATTCTCTGTGCAGTTTTTACTATTTCCCTGTGTGTGTGTGTGTGTGTGTGTGTGTGTGTTTTACGTGAAATATAAATTCACTTGCTCTAGTAAAGTGAACTTCTCATGAAATGATATTTTCTTCTAAGAACTGGAACTGACGGGATAAACATGTTAGAAACGGGAGCTGTGACAATCTTTATGCAAATAACAACCTCATCGTATTGTTACAAACTCCAATTTGATGAAAATATACACCTTACAATGTGACTGAAAAACAAATGTAAAGAAAAAGAAAGAGCTCTTAGCAACGTTCAGCCTTTTGTGTTCTTTACACGCATCTTCTTTTTTTTTGTCCAAATGTCCTGGATTCTACTGGAACAGACTGACCCTTCACGACCTTCTGCAGACCAATGATAAGGGTGTCCCGCAGGCCTTTTGCTAGTGAGGCGTCCCCTGGGCACTCAGCGTGTGGGAACAGCACGAAAGACGCGGCCGTCGTGGAACTGATTAGTATGCTGGTCAATCCCTATTATTCAGGTGCACGTCACGTGATGTCGAACTCGCTCTACAGCTTATGAAATCAGCGCCTGAAGAATTCAACCGATTGTGGTAACTATGTCTGTGTCTGATTAGAGAGATAATTTGCTGGAAATTATTAAAGATACTCAAAAAATATCACACGGAAGAGAGTCTGTGATTCGGTTAAACTTCCGCTTAACTACGATCAGGCCCGTGACTTGTCTACGAGAAAATTTTAAAACCCATGCGCGAAAAGCTGAACACCAGATTTATGTATTTAGTAACTGTATGTTATCTAGTTACAGAAACGATATCTCCTGATCTCAGATTTCACCTGAAAAATAACTGAATATCAGTGTGGTAGCGGTTGTCAGTTAAAAAGAGTATGGGTACACAGGCACACAGTTTTGTGTTTCATGACGTAAATGTATCACTGCAGCTGTCTATCAAACAGCGCAGACATTTTTCATTTGAGCTCAAGCCTCCCTTTACAAAAAGACTACGCGTCAACGTAATGATTTATTATACCCCCCTGTTTTGTCGAGGATAACGGCTTACCTGTTATAATAATGAAGAATGTTATATACGTATTATTTAGTAGATCATTTTTAACTTATGCGGGACGTATTAATTATTAGATAATTTTTAATCATGCAAGTTGAGCGGAAATAGTGCTTATTAATAGCTAAAAAACAAAAACTGTGTTTGAGACATTGCTGTTGTTATTTGTGCCCTTGACTACAAAGCACGGGTTGGTAATAAATTACGATTAATAACAAGCATGAAACGCGTAATTCTAGAGGCAAGCCTTACCTGGACATAACATCGTACAGTCAACCTTCTGGGCGGCTTCTCCTGTACATTGATGACCGCTATTGAGGGGAGTCGGGTTGGTGCACATACGGGTCCTCAGTTTTACCCCTCGGCCACAGCGACTAGTACATTCACTCCACGGGCTCCACGTGGACCAGCCTCCGTTTACTATTGTTAACGAAACGTGCCTGTTTTTAGTCTGACCGATAATAATATTACTGCTAATAATAGTGCACATTGATACCACGTGTTTGAGAAGGCGAGAGAAATAAATCAAATCAATGTACTTATTGAATTTAATCAATAATATCGCTCCTTTCGTTTCGTATGTTTGTTTTCTCGCATGTGATAAGGAACAAGAGAATCACTCTATCTCGAGAGAAATCTGTTGGCAAAAGTGTGTTACACAATTAGTTACAAAATCCGGTGTTCTAAAAACAAACAAAAAACTGAAACATGCAACGATTATAAAGTGTTATGCAAACAAACTGAAACATACAACGATTATAAAGTGTTAAGTAAACAGACTGAAATATACAACGATTATAGTGTTATGCAAACAAACTGAAACATACAACGATTATAAAGTGTTAAGTAAACAGACTGAAACATACAACGATTATAAAGTGTTAAGTAAACAGACTGAAACATACAACGATTATAAAGTGTTACGTAAACAG